TTAGAGTAATATTCTAATACTGGAGATTCTGTAGCTTGGGAAAACAGTTTAGAAGCTGTCTTGTTTTCGGTAGTAATAACAGTGACCATTATCATTTAAAAGTTGCCAGGACAAATAGATTTATATATATATAAAATATATTTATGATATATTCAAAAGTAATATGCTTTTTTAAAGTACTGGCATTAAAGCCAGTATGTTCTGCTGTGCCCTGGCATTTCAATATCCATCAATTAAAGCAAAAGAATGAACTGCACTAGTTTCATTGGGAACCAGTAATGAAGATTACAAACAGCCTTTTCTAATATATGCATTTTTAATGTTACCCTGCAAAAACAGTTTAAAAAAAAAAAAAAAAGAACTTTATAACTTTATTTGTATGCAGGGGAAAAAACATCTTTTCTTTACATCTTCATATCCGTGGAAATGCAAGGACTCAGTGAAATAAAAACCTAGCCACAAAAAGCTTCCTAGAACTAATCTTGGAAGGAGGAAGATTCTGGGAACTGGGTGCACATCCTGTATTCATGTCCTTAGGGCTGAATCTTTTTCAGAACTGGATCTTCCCTTTACCTTGCAGACCTCTACTTTCTGATGGCAAATTAGATGAGTGTTAAGACCCATGTGATACAAGAAGTCCATGCTTTTTTTCTGTGTAGGATTTAGACCTTAAGTCTACAGTTAAGGTCATTGTGGATCTTCAGTAATTTCCTGCTGGAGTCGATGCCCACAGTCAGTGGCACTTTTTGCTTCTCAGTTTTCAAGGCTGGGTATCCTATTAGACCCTGTTAAAGGACACTATTAGACCCTATCTAGGCCATAAAAAAAACCTCATTTGTCACAGCATATGCATTTTGTCCCCTCAGATTTGAAATGTTTGTAGGTTCCCTACTCTAGAGGTAGCTTGGGAGTGTCAGCTGTAAATTGTGAAGTTGCATTATTCTCAGTGCAACACATAACATGAATATTTCTGTTTTTTTATGCAGACACCAAGGACTTAACGTATATATGTTTTTAAGTAAAAGTTTTTATGAAATGCAAGTACTCTGTTTAGATAACGTGCAAAACTAGGAGCCATGTATCTAGGAAATACAGAGAGGCTTCTGTAGAATCTGCAAAGTGGGCTGATTTCTCCTGTTGGGAAATGTCCCCGCTTTTGTTATGCTATTAGCTTGGAAACAGAATCAGTATTTTTTCCCATTAAAGCTCTTAAAAACTTTAGCGTCCAAATTCACTTTTTGGTTTACAGTTGCTCCATCTATACTCATAAATTAAATGGTGTTAGGGACTAGGTTACTTTACTGCCTGCCTCCATTGCTTGCAAAGTTTTTACTTCCTAAAATGAGGCAGGTGTACCCAAAATGGCAGTTATTCGTGGCTAATATTAATTTCTGGAAAGCATCCAAGAGTTATTTGTACATATATTAAAGTGCTCTTTGGAACAGGTCAAAACAATGCCAGCAACTGTTCTGACAATATAGATAGATGGCGGAGTTGCTGTTTTAAGAGTATTGCCTAGCACTATTAAGCACACCAGGAGCTGTTGTTAGGAAAGCAAAAAGACACTATTCCCCACTGCGTAATGGGAAGCAAGGTTAGAGAAACACAAAATACCAGCATGAGAACGTTGCTTGTGCTACTTCAGCCTGGTGCTTCCAGGGCAGGGGAGAGCCTGAGGCTTCCCCATGCTGGCAAGAGCTCAGGTTAGCACCTTACTCATCAAGAGGAGGGTGCCAGCCTCTTGAGTTGTTTAGATTTTGCATCTCCTGGTTGTGAGGGACAGCAGGTTACTGATACGTGCAAATTAATTGTGTTTTTTGGGCTCTTGCTCTTCTTTCTGCAGTCCTTCTAGGGGAACGCATTTCTGGCATCTCTGATTAGCGCTTGAAATTTTGTACAAGGGAGATGTTGCACCAACTGTCTGCATGTGGAACACCTATGAAATGCTTAGATATGCTTATTTCTTCCTAGAGATGATGTTTGCCTCTCTGGGACATTAATTGAACTGTCGTTCCTCTGCCTCTCTCTTCCCAAGCAACATAACTTATGTTATGCCTTGCATTAAGATTTTAGGATAAATATTACGAAAAACACCACACAGACAACACTTTGATAGTCTGGCAACTGAAGATGTATTGCTAGGTTTCCACAGAGGTGAGGCACAGCGTATTAAAATGTATGACTGACTTGACAGTGTCCTTCTTCAGTCATTTTCAGAACTCTGAACCCCTTTCTTGCAAAAGGAACTCTATAAATTTATTGCTTGGTGCAGTGTAGTATGATGTCTGAATGTCTTTAAAAGTCTTGCTGAGAAACTTGATTTGTTTCCACCCTTGTAATTATAGTTTCTAGTACTGAAAGCTGAGTTATCTTTTCACAGATCAGGGAGTTGATCTGGGAAAGACAATGTCTTAACCCTCCATGCCATTCTTATGCCTGTAAGATATGGAAAATGTCCACATTTTCCATGCCATGCTCCATAAGGTATTAGGAAATCCAGCTGTACCCCAATTGCCAAATGGCAAAATTGCGTAATAATTAAAGGGACTTCTGGGGATCATTTGTCTTGCCCCTCTGCCCTCTTGCCCCTCTGCCCTCTCTATATTGCCCTGGTACACCTACTGAAGGAGGGTAAGCTAGAATAAGTTGTTCAGGATCATATCCAGTCAAGTTTTGACCATCTCCAAGGATGCTCTCCATAGTCTCTTGTGGCAATCTGTTTCTGTATTCAATCTCACCCTCACAGAAAAGGTGTGGGGTTTTTTTTTATGTTCAGGTAGAATTTCTTGCCTTTTGCCCATTGCCCTGCATCCTGACCTGGGCACCACTAAGAATTATCTGGACCCTTCTCTTTATACCCTCCCATTAGGTATCAGTAAATGTTGATAGGATCCCCCCCAGAGCCTTCCTTTCTCCAGTCTAACCAGTTGCAGCTCCCTTAGCTTCTCCTCATGTAAGAGATGCTCCAGTCCCTTAATCATCTTTGGGGCCTTGTGTTGGACTTGCTTCAATAAATGCATATTTCTCACACTGGGGAGCCCAGCACTGGACCCAGCACTCCAGGTTTGTCCTCACGAGCCCTGAGCAGAGGGGAAGGTTCTCCTGGCCAGGCTCTTCCCAGTGCAGCCCAGGATGCCCTTGGCCTTCCTTGCCACACTGCTCATGGTCAGCTTACCTGTTGGGAGCCGCAGACCTTCTCTGCAAAGCTGTTCTCCAGCACACCCTTTTCTGCATAAGGTTGGTCATCTTTAAGTACAGAACTTCATATTTCTCTTTGCAACCTTCCAGTTCTGTATCTGAGAACTTGCTGAGGGTGTAAAATATTTCTTCATAGAAAAAGCGACTACTCAAATTTATTCCAAGCTCTCTGCAGAAGTATTTAGTCTTTCTGATACAAAAATAAATTGTTCTTTTTGGCATAACTAAAAATGTAAAACCTAAATCTTCTAAAATTACTCTTCAATATCATCACTCATCCTTTTTTTTTTTTTTTTTTTCCCCTCCCTTAAATGGAGAGATTTTGTATTCTTAAAGCTTGGGTTAGAAGAGACCATTAGTTCATTTAACCTGGCACTCTGTATAGCAGGGAGTCTTATATTTCATTTGGTTCTTTCTGTATTGTGTGTGGCTGAGATCTATATTAATTCACCCTGCAATAAAGAAAAGGATGAATGATCTGGGAATATTAAGACTCTCAAGCTTTACCTTGCACAGCCCCAGAATAACCAGTGATCTATATTTTAAAGCATTTTTTCTGTAATCTGTACAGTAATACAGAAGAACTTGTGATTAAAAAATAGTAATAATAATGAAATTCTCTCCCTTCCTCCCCCATTCTCTTCAATATACCCATTGACCAGCGGGAGATTTTCCAAAACTGAATCTGCTGTCCTTTGAGGACGTAGAGTGAAAGATAAAACCATGCTTAATAGTCTGTTTCAGCAGTTAGTCATCATCACTGTTTGGCAGCCTAAGGTTTTTCTCCAAGGTTAAGATGCCTTTAGTATTGACCTCTTCTCCCCACAGAGCTCACTGGTTGCTCTGTAAGCAAAGCAAATCTCTTTGTGTTGTTGAATTCCTTTTGAAAGGCTCTTTCTGCTTTCAGTTCAGCACTTTCATGCTTTCTTTAAAATGGCAATGAACTACTGTGTCTAAAGCTGTGTACAGAAATAAAATTGCCTCTTTCCTCCAACTTGATTCCTCTGAATGAGCAAGGAGTTGAATAGATATGCCTGGGTCTGCAGGTTAGGAAATTCAGATTTCGGATCACAGCACCGCAACTCTTGCATCCTGCATTTGTTTAAATGCTGCTCTTAGGACTTTGCTTAACTGTACATTTTTGGAAGTGTGAATGAACTGATGTCACCTTGAAAATCTGATTAATAAGGGGTATGATTAGAAAAACGGTTACTTTTGCCTTAATAAGAAATGACAATGTTGTGCAAGTCCATTTCAACAAAGGACAAGAGAAATTATTTAAATGCTAGAAACACTTCCAACTTCAAGTAATCCATTGAAAGCATGTGTTATATTAACCGTGAAGGAAAATACCTTAAAATAATCTTTAAAATTACTTATCTGAGATTTATGAATCTAATAGAAATATATCCAACCAATCAATGAAGTAATTGTCATCTACTGAAGTCCAGTGGTATGTCAGCCTGTTTTAGGAGCTTGACAATAGGGAAAGAAAGCATAGCCAATACAGACCCCTAACATGGAAATGACAGTAATTATTTACCTGAAAATGCACCTGACAAATGCCTTATCCATGATACAGCTTCTGTTTCAGCTCTCCCCTTTCATTCTGTCTGTCTCTATAACCTTTTGTTCCACCTGTGATGTTTTTCAGTAGTCGCGTGATAAAATGCCAAGGCTAGATTCCAAGGATGGAATAAAAAGCTGGATTTTTTTTTTGTTGTTGTTGTTTTTGTTGCCTTTTTTTTTTTTTTCTTTAATGAAAGCACTAACAATTCTATTTGGATTGTATTTCTTTGTAGCAAAACCAATGAATTATTGAACAGACTGGACTTGGGTTTGCCAAAGAGTGATTCCTGTCAGATTGCGAATCGCGGCCCAGAGTCTACAGCATGGGTAAGTAAAACCATGGAATGTGAAATGATCTCTGTCAATTTTCCAGGTGCTGCCAATAGTGGAACATTTAGAGTATTCTAACCGAGCTGAATTGCCCCGACATAATTCAGTGAATACCAGGAATCCTTCTGGCTGAATGAGGTTGCTTACGTTGTTCTGCAATACACAGGCAGGGTTATCCTGCATAGTAGGGCACAGTCTTTATTACTCACTGATCTCTCCCTCATAACTAAGAGGCAGATTTATATTCTTGGTTCAGAACAGAAGCTTAAACATGTCTGTACCCATCAATTGGTGGCAAGCGGTTATGAGATCTCAGCTGGCTTATGTCAGGGGATGCTGCCTGTGTTGGAAATCTAGTCAGAGAACCTTATTTTTCAGTGTGTCATAAAAGTGATTCCATAGACTGCACTGGGACTTTGTCCCTGTTTGAGCCTAGAATCAATGTAGTTAGAGCAGATGTGAAATATTGCTTAAGTTCTAATTATTCTAATTGTTTCAAAAAGGTTTTTTTCCATATTTGGACAGTCTCTTTATGTCTAAACCAGTCTTTTCCCTGATGGAGAAACTTGCAATGAGGCAATTTAGGTGTATCAACCCTCAGATAGAAAATCTCTCATTTAAGGAACTTCTCAGTGGAGGGAAACCTGCAGTGGATGGCTATGAGGACATAAATTATTATTTTGGGCAACAATATTTGATCAGCAGAAACCTGAGCAGCCCTCTGTTGTATGGAGTCTTGAACATCAGCTGTTGAGAAAGGGAAGAAAAGATTCTTCTGAGAAAAAGGTTTTCTCAGGAGCCAAGGAAATGTGCCAGACTTTGTCCCATCTATAGAAATTATTTCAGAATATTTCAGAATATTTCAGGTTGGAAGGGACCTCTACAGATCATCTAGTCCAACCTTCCTGCTCAAGCAGGCACACCTAGAGCATGTGGCACAGGGTGGCATCCAGGCGGGTTTTGAAGACCTCCAGAGAAGGAGACTCCACAACCTCCCTGGGCAGCCTGTTCCACTGCTCTGTCACCCTAACAGTAAAGAAGTTCCTCCTCACCTGGMGACGGAACTTCTTGTGYTTCAGCTTGTGGCCATTACCCCTCGTCCTATCGCTGGCCACCAGTGAGAACAGCCTGTCCCCTTCCGCCCTGCATTCTCCCTTCCTGAACTTATACATATTAATCATATCCCCTCTGAGCCGTCTCTTCTCCAGAGAAAACAGGCCCAGCTCGCTCAGCCTCTCTTCATACGAGAGATGTTCCATACCCTTAATCATCCTGGTTGCCCTTCTCTGGACCCTCTCCAGAAGCTCCACGTCCTTCCTATACTGGGGAGCCCAGAACTGCACACAGTACTCCAGGTGCGGCCTCACCAGAGCTGAGTAGAGGGGCAGAATCACCTCCCTTGACCTGCTGGCAACGCTCCTCCTGATGCAGGCCAGGATGCCATTGGCCTTCTTGGCCACGAGGGCACACTGCTCACTCATGGTTAACTTAGTGTCAACCAGGACTCCCAGGTCCCTCTCCGTGGAGGTGCTTTCCAGCAGGTCCACCCCTAATCTGTACTGATGCCTGGGGTTATTCCTCCCCAGGTGCAGGACCCTACACTTGTCCTTATTGAACCTCATGAGGTTCCTCTCTGCCCAACTCTCCAGCCTGTAGTATCACAATATATGGAGCTCTCTCTTGCTGTAGTATCTCTTCCTGTGTCTCAGCTATCTGAAAGGAGGAGATGCTGAACGCAGATTCCTTTTCCCTTTGCTTCCTTGGGTCATATTGAGGCTTTGAATAAGATAAATCCTAGTGATAATGTAGGCAGATGTACAAGGTCACCAAACTCTGCAAAGCAGGACTGGCCCACTGAAGTGTAAGAGTCTTTTTGTAGTGGTGAAGAGACCAGCCATGTGCAGTACTATGAGAAGAGAGGAAAAAGAAGTCTGGAAATCCCTGGTGCTTCCCTGTGAGGCACCCTGAACAATGGGGAGCTGGTCCATTGTTGCTGGCAGACTCTTCTCCTTGGCCTTTCTCAGGGCGTTGAGATAAGTGAGTGCATGTCCTCAGGACTGACTTGCACATCAGGACTTTAGTGCTGTGGCCCCATATCTGTGCAGAAGGATGCCTACAAGAACACTGGATTTTATTTTTTATTTTTTATTTTTTATTTTTTATTTTTTATTTTATTTTTTATTTTTTATTTTTTATTTTTTATTTTTTATTTTTTATTTTTTATTTTTTATTTTTTATTTTTTATTTTTTATTTTTTATTTTTTATTTTTATTTTTTATTTTTTATTTTTTATGCCAAGCAGGCATCCTGCTTTTCCAACTGTACCCTTCTCATTGCATTTTTAGTTTTTTTCTTAATAAAGTTCATCTTCAGCTTAAACAATACCCAGCCAGATAAAATACGCAGGTTTTTGTAGTGTTCTTTATTGATATCAGTTGATGTTGCATGCCTGTTGTGTGACAGCATTTGAATACCTTTGAGACTCAATTTATCACTCGCTTATAATGCAGCAAAGCAGTTAGCAAAATGTCTTTCCAGGCAATTTGGATGAAGCACAATTTGTTGCCATACTCACAGCCTCTGTACTCTACAAAAGGGCACCTAACCCTTGAGTGAAGCACATTCCAGTGATTTGTTACCCAGATAGAATTGGCATAATATCAAATCACTTAACCTGTGGGGAAACTCATACTCTAATTTTAATATGATATTGGACTCACCCCTTGTTTAGAGTAACTGAAACATTCAGCATCAATTTGTCCAAGAAGTGCCTGTCAAGTGTTTTATACCTTATTCAGATCATATAAATTTATATATATCTTTTTTTAATGTTCTAAAACAAGCTCTTGGAGGCAATGTCATTTTGACTGTGGTGCTTGGGTTTTTTGTTTTTGGGTTTTTTTTTTTTTTTTTTTTTGTTTTTTTTTTTTTTGCTTTTTCTCCATGCCCATTGTTCCTTTGATTTTGGTACTCATTTAGCGCACCTTGTTCAAATATCACTGTCAAGTACTTAAATGCATGTGGAAAAAAAAAGCCTCCTTTTGAGTAATTTCATGTCACTGGTGACTTTTTTTGGCCCACTTCTTTCATCAAGTTCATAATTAATTTTAATCCTGTCTTTTTGTCTTCCAACTTGATTAACATACACGCCACACAATCCTCCAAGCCATTACTGAGAGTAATGAATAATATTGGACCCAGAATGAGTCTCCCTGGACACATGTAACAACTCCTCCCAGCTCAAAATTGAGCTATTAATAATGGCTTTCTCTGTTCAGCCCTTTTAGCAGATTATGTGCCTGTCGTTTTAATGGTGTCATTCTGAACCACATATATCAAGTTTGAAGAACATTGTGTAGACCTGCATCAAATCCCTTGCTGAACTCAATCTGTGTGCAGCTAGGCCTGCATACTTTTCATGTTAAGCAACAGTGGTTTATCACTCAGTCCCTGCCCAAAGACTTTGTAATTTAAGGACCGAAGGACTTGATCCTAGTCTAGAACTTTGCAAGCAGCTACAATTTCAGAGAGACTTGGGTTAGCTATTGCAGGGAACTGTTGGTTATTGCAGGGAACTGCTGCACAGTCGTGTATCCTATTTGTGATTTACACAAATAAGATTTGTGATTTACTTCACGTTTTCATTTCTCTTAGTTGCCCTTCAAAAACAAGCAGGGTCTCTTGACTTAGGAAGGATCTTAGGAGGATCTCTCTCTTCTTCCACATACCACTTTTCTGTACTGACATGGGAAATACTCCTCGATTACCCTTTTATTAGGCTTCCTTTCTGCTTTGTTATTCTGGTAATATTTCCAGACCTTTTCTTCCCAAAACTCCCCATCTCATTATCACATATGCCAATAGGATATTTAAGGAGTTTATATACTTGTCAATTGGATGAGCAAGACGAGCAATAGCAGGTGCACTGGGTGGTTTATTGTAATGTGCCAATGGACATTTAGCTCAAATTATTTTTTTAAAATACTTCCACCTTATATTAGTGTGAAGACTTGAATTTTCTTAAGTGACCAGAATCCATCAACCATTTCTGTTGTGTTAATTGCTCTTATAATGATTTGGGGGCGAGATTTGGGATTTTGGTGAGGTCTCCTCTCCCTGTCAATATGTTTTATATTCTCTGTTGAACAACAGACTAGAAGCCATACTTACAAGCAAGCTCTTCGAGAGGATGAAAACAGAAGATTAGAGGAGATGAAGCAAGAGCAACGGAGAAAGGTGATTGTACGTTAGCAGTTTGCATATTGTATCATTTTTGCATGCTGTGAAACCAATTAAATGCATTGATTATTGTAGCCTAAGCACAGAACTTATCTTCAGGGAAAGTGATTGGGTTGTTGTTCTCAAATATTGTAAGAGAGATGAGCCACACTATAAGATTTGGGTGTACAGTGAATTATCTTCTGAGTTCATGGTTATTTGCATCTAGAAGACAAGTTTCTACTTGTCTCCCCATTTGAGCCATTGTGCAGGGTGTTTTCTGGATCATGATTGCACAATTTCAGACTCTAAGGAAACCAATTTCCTCTCTTTCAGGCAGAAGGATCTTACTGAGATATTCATGATTATCCATTTTTAGACAACCAAGGCCTGTGCACCTTGCCTTTTAAAATAAGTGTGCAGAAGCACTCAGATTTACTGTTCACTGTCATCTTCAGTGTTTAGTTGGTTTATTAACCGAATAAACCAAGAATTCAGAGTAGTCTAAAAGCAGGTATGCCATAACTACAAGTGAGAAATCCACCTTCTGCATATGCAAGACATGGTCTGAAATGCATCCTAGCCCATCCAGTCTCTTTAGGATCATTTTGGGTACTATGAACATGTGGAATCTCCACAAGGCTGTAACCTCATGCTAAACTCACTCTCTCACCTGCATGCTAAACTCACTCTCTCACCTGCAGTTCAAAATGTGCAAGTATGAGAAGGACAACGTTAAATGCAAATCTCTGAAGAAACATTGGCAAATACTAAGCATCTAGTTAACCCTGTGCTGTTGTTCATATCCAAGTTAATGCTAAACTGCTTCCACAGAAGTAGATGTTTTGGTAACTCAACAAATCCCATAGAATGCATTTCTAATAGAGCTGGAGAAGTGACTTGATCCCTTCACAGGTGCTTTTCATTAAGTGCTGACAATAATTGTGTTCTTTAAATAGTATTTTAGTTACTAGAATGCTAGAAGCAAAAAGAAAAGAAAGAAGCAAATAAATAAATGAACACACAGCCTTAACTGAGAGTGAATTTTAACTGTTTTGTTAGGTGTGTAACTACCCCCTGGAACAATACACAAGAAAAATCCTTCAGAGCTAGCCATGGGGGTCTGCAACTGCTGCATTGAGCATATGTTCTGCTATAGACAAAATAAATACAAGTGTGAATTAAACCGACCTCACAGAGCACAAGCATGCTAGGAGGAGGTAGAGCTGGGACTCTTTGCTGGTTAACATAGATTAAGGTGAAGGTGTTGACTGATTCCAAGACTGTTCTTTCTTTGTGTGCCATTCTAGAGTGCTCCTTCCCTCCGTATTTGCAGTTGCCTATTGCATAGATTAATGTACTGCTTACAAACCCACTGCAAATAATACATACTTTAAAAGCCGAATGATTGTCCCTAAGATTTATGTTGGGTTATTTCAAACTAATATGTATTAAAGTAACTGTAAATTGTCCTGTGTGCACCTTCTAGTACAATGTTGCTGTAAAATGCATAGGTATTGTCAGTTGAATTTTTTTAGACTAAGTTTTAGTATGTATAGTATGATTTAAAAATTTTCATTGCGCTTTAAACAGTGCATCATACACACACAATATATTTCAGAACATTACTCCGGGAGAGGACTCAGCATATTGGAAAGTCAGATACTGGATTTTAATTTTCAGGTTGAATAGTTATTTAAAACAGTGAAAATTAAGGTTGGCTTTTTATTTCTTAATCCTGTTTCTTCTTTTAAGGCTAGACAAATATTGATACACAACACATTTGCAGTTATTGATTTTTTTTTGCATACATTTATTGCACAGTTTTTATTTAATGTTCCAGATAAATTGATTTTTCTTTTTCTTTTGTGTTCGTAGTTTCATTCAGTCATTGAAGCTTTCTTTTATCAGACTGCGTAATTTAACTTTACTTTCTAGTCCTACTACTACTCAGTTGCTATGGAAAATGTGAAGGATGGGTCTTTTCTTATTTCTTTCCCCTCCCCCTTGCAAGTGAAATTCTCTTTGCAGAAAAATCTGCATCTTCAATTCTTGGGTGCATTTCAGGGAGTAAGAGACAAACAAGTAAGTACTCAGGCATAGCACAGTCATAAGCTGTGTTTCCTTAGCAGTCCAGCCTGAAAATGCAGAGGCAAACTCTCTTCTCCAGAGAAGTCCCTTTGAAGTTATTTATATACTGTAGTATTACATAATGTAAGGTTTGTAGTCTCCAATTCTAACATTTTTAGCTAGACAGGAGAAAAGAAATTCACATGTACAGCAAGGCCACTGAACATGGAGTGCGTGTGTGATCATTTTGTTATGGGTTCCGCACTGGAATAATGCTTTTGGAAGAGGCTTCCTGTCAAACTGATTTGGGAAAGCAGACAAAAGAGGAAAATACACAGTAGAGGTGCACCCTGAAATGCTTCACAGTGTTACGAGGCAAAGGACACATCTCCTTTGCACCTACCAAGGTCATGTTGGGCTGTGTTGGCTCGTGTGAAGGGCCTTAGGTAATCTTTGCCCCCCTGCCTGTGAGTTGGAGCAGGAGGAAGCTGAAGGTCTCAAGCTGAAGGCTTCACATGTTTCTCTGTCACAGAGCACAGCAAACTCTACCTCAAGGTACTGAGGGCATGAAGGAACAGCACGTGCAAAATAGAGACGTGGCTAGAGGGACAAACCTTGCATGTGGACTGGCATTGCCTTAAGTGTATGAATGCAGCTGTTTGAGTTGTTTTGGTTTCTACTTTTTAGACACAAATATATCTTATCTAGTGCAACCGTGAACAGAAAACTGAGCTCAATTTTTAATAAAGGGCTGTCATGTAAATGAAATGCTATTGAGGGAAGTTTTGTAAATACCACATTTTTCTCATTGATGTTAACACCATGTGAAATTAATTGGGTTCTTAACATAGACAAGTTAATTAAAAAGGTTTATTTTCTGATTTTTATCATTCCCAGGCTGAATTAATGGAAATTAAACAAAAGCAAGAGGAAGAAGCCCGAACAAGAGCACACCAAAATGAACAGAGGAGGTAGGATGCAAAAAAAAAAAAAAAAAAAAATAGAGAGAGAGAGAATGCACTTTAATTGAATTCCTCTCCTAGAAAGGGTCTCAAAATTGCAACCATCCAGGTATTATAAAACTGCTGCAATGAGGATTCTTGACCTAGACTCTAGTTCACCTTTTCCTTCATATAAGTCACAATATCCAGAATTACTGCAACTCACAGTATGCAATTTGACATAGACTGCCATTTTATTTATCCCTCAGCATTAAGCTGAAGTACTGAAAGCTAGCTGAATGAATACATACATACATATATATACACACACATATATATATATATGTATGTATACAAACATACTTTGTAATGGGCTCAAACACACTTTATAATGCACTACTTTGTCCATGCAACTTCTTCAGTGTCACAGAAGCTAACAGGCAGAGCTAAGCCTGAGTTTATATACTCACTCAGAGCTAACACTGAGTTTATACAGTTTATACAGAGATAAACTGCATTGTGGCAAAGCCTTCTATAGTTGCAGTGTTTTGTGTCTCGCTGGCGTGCCATGACCCTGTTTTGTGATTTTAATCTTATAGTTCTATCTACGTTCTTTTGAAACACAGCTATATTCTCTGCTTGGTTTTCAGCAAGTAAAAACCACCTCTCAGTCTCAACTATAAAAGCCCCATCACTGGGATGTGGGGAGGTTGTTATATATCATCGAAGTATTTAAGAAAAGAAGTAATTTTGAGAGCAATCACTCTTCATACTGTTTTCTATTTTTCTTTCCAGCAAATATATTGAAATAATTAGCTATAGAATTAATGAAATATTTTAGACTAAGTCCATCTCTGTTTCCCTAGATAGAAATAAAGTTTAGAAACCTGCAATCTCTCATTTTGCATCCTTTTTGAGAGAAATCATGTAAAACATGACTGTCATTTCTAAACCTATGTGTCAGGCCTAGGTATAAATGAGAGGGAAGAAGATGCAACCTTCAGCCAGTTTGAAAATAATTAAAACAGACTGAGGGGAAAGTGTATTTATGTGTTCCAGATTGATAAAGCCATACAAGAAAATGCTAGAGGTTCTGAACTGAAGGGCAGGGAAAATTGACAACTGCACAACTTCTCTATTAGTAATGAACTTAAGTGGCTTTTTCATTGGCATTAGGAAATCAGTACTTTAGAAGCTGTCCTTGTGTACTGCAAGCTGAAAGGCTACTTAAGGTGAATTGTCTAAATAGCCCAACTCACTGTGAATGTGGGTGCTGTGCACGTAGACTTTCTACTGAGGATTTAGATGCATTTCTCACAGCAGCCACGAGATGCTTTTTAATCATAAAAGATTGATCACAAGGTAGGAATAAACCTCAAGAACTGAAAATGAAATCCACCCTGTCTTATGCCGTTCTTTAGTTATTCAGCACAGACTTGAAAGGCAGTGAAGTGTATGTTTAACTGAGAATAGGGAAAGCCACTCACAGAGGTTTCAATCTCCCAAATTTGTGAACTCCTCAGCTACCATTTCATTGTTTTTAAGGGTAAACAATGCTTTCCTGGACCGACTACAGAACAAAACGCAAGCTAATAGCATCTGCCAACCTGAATATCCGAGGAGTCAGAACTACTACAGTAACAACTAATGGGTAAGTTTATGGATCTAGAACATGAAAGCAATAGGATTTCTTTTAAAGGTCATTTTTCCCTGGATACTGCTCTGTAGATGTGTTTGTTTAGTCTGTTCATTAAACTTACATTCCTTTCTTGTTGCCTATGCTCTTAAAAAAATCTGTCCTTAAATGTATGCTATTTGTATGGGGGAGGAATTAAGAATTTCCCTTACAGAAGAAGCATATTGATTTCCATGCAAGATGCTGTATCCAAGTTCCTTTCTTAACTTTGGAACAAGAATCATCAAATCTTAAGGAGTTCTTTTTTTCTTTTTCTTTTAAATGAGAGATGCTTGGAAATGCTATAAACATTTTAATATGATACTGAAATTGGATGGGAGGAAAAATATGAAAGATACAGCTGTTCATTTTTTTTTTCCCCATATAAAGTTGTAGCAAGGAAAATCCAACTGCATCCATTTAAATCCATTTAAAATATACAGTACTTAGAAGGTTTCTCTGAAGAAAAGGTATCTTAACTCTAGCTTATTAAATATTCAGTCCTAGATACTAGATTTTCTCCACTGTTTTAATGAGGCGTAAGTGTGATTGTTGTTACTTGGAATTGCATTCTTCAGTGATTCAAAAACATTTTGTAGTATTTCCACTGTGGAAATTTCCATTAGGGTGAAACTGCATTACTGGGAGGACAGTAGTGCAGAAATGGAAGCCTTAAGAGGACTGAAAAGCAAAGATATGCAAGTCTAATAATGCAGTGAATGTTTCAGAGTAGAGTAGTGGAAACCAAATGAATTTTGAGGTGGACTAGTTTAATTATTCTGGCCATTTGAGGCCCATCCTGAACCTGTATAAATCTGCTTAATTACATGTGAAAGTAGCCCTGTCTAATCCATGTGTTGGTAGACATTCACAGGAGTGTGGATTTGTATCTTGGCAGGTGAATGACAAGAGAACTGCAGTTCAGGTTCCTACTAAGTCCTGAACCTAAAAGGCATGTCAGAAATGCAAGTATTTGTTATTGCTGGAGTTTTCTAGGCACTCTGGATAGAGATTCTTTTAATCACTACAAACTTCAGGCAAGCTCTGTTGACCTGCCAGCTAATGACCCATAGGGTTGGGTGGTAGTTACTGGGTGAACTAGTTCACTAGGGCCCTTACCAGCAAGTCTTGCACGATGGCAAGCCAGACAGTCCAGGAGTTACTGGAAGTCAAGCTTGTGATATCCAGGCTAGTGAGGGAGTGAGTTAAGAGTGTTCTCTGGCAGATCTATGACAGATCTGAAAAGGTGTCTGTAGACAGCAGTAATGCAGACCTTGGGTAGGGCAGAGCCAACTTTTGCCTAGTCAGGGACAAAAGGTAAAAATCTTCTGAATGGAAACTGGTAATTAGACCAGTAAGGGCAGCATTGTTCTTTATATTTCGTTTATGTCTTTTATCCCAATCCGTAAACCACTTCCTGAGAAAACCAAAAAGGAAGTCTATCAGAGAGCAGGATCCCAAATATCTCAAACTGCCATGCATCCACTGCCATGACTGGGAACTTGGCTGTCATCTGTGGTGGAAGTGGAGCTTTTCCTATGGTCAGATCCCATAGGTTGTCTTCTATACAGCACTTGTTTGTACCACCAAATGCATATACTGAACCCAGACACAATTTCAGTAATAGACAGCTCTATGATGTACACAACCAATATATCATTTTTTAATAAAGTAAGAATGCACTGATACAATTGCAACAAAACCCTCTGAGTAGGAGTAGTGATAAATTTCCCACTCTGGGTGTTTACTTAATAGTTCCCAAGGAACTTGCCTGCTGTTGGATAATGCTAGTTTATCTGCTTTTCATGTAAAATAAGGCTAAGCAAAACAAAAAAAGACTGAAGTATGAAAGAATATGTCACCACTGAAAGGAGTTAAAGATGAGTATTTGTAGCAAGAGCAAGAGAGAAAAGTCTCTTGCCAAAGATAGCTTTGAGGCTGCAATCTCAGTGTCTTTGAGTATATCCGAATTCTTCCTTGTGTTTTTGAACAGGAAGACTTGACCTCCAGGTGAGCCATAGAAGTTATGTAGTCAGCAGCACAATCTATAACATTGAAGAGGGTTTAATGGGAGCAGGTCAGACTATCCACCAAGATTAAAAGGAATGAAACGAGTTCCTGAAGTTACAACCTGCAAGTGTTTGGAGTTTGCATCTTCTGTGCAACAGCATTGAAGAGGAAGTATCTGTTGCTGTTTGTTTTTTATTTGTTTGTTTTCTGGTTCAACTCTTGCATCACAATGACTCTACATGTGTAGAAAATGGTGCTGTGCTATCCATACGCCTCCTGTATTTTTTTACAGTCTGCTTTCCTAAAGAAATGAAGTTTTCTCCATCACGCTGTAAGGATTTTCAGCCTTCTGACCAATCTTTGCTGGAGTTGAAGGGGTATATGAGCCTTAAAGATAATTAGGCTTTGTGAAAAGCAGTGGCTGGAGGAGGGAGGTGGATTTATTGTTTGGGTTTGGGGAACAAGGAGAAGACTAGTTATGCTGCCCATGATTTTGTCCCCTGATTGATAGGAAATGAGGTCTTAAAAGCTCTGCCTTCCAGACATTGTGTGTTTTATTAGGAATATTTATATGCTGTTATTTCAAGAAGTATCTTAATGGAAGTAATCTTGTCTGCATTTTTTGGTTATAAATGCCAGGGTGCTCTCTGGGTGGTTGTCATTTGCTTTTTCTAATGGGAAGACAATTTAATAAATTTCCACTTCTCTCTCAGAGCTACGGCACCCTAGAGATAGACAAGAGTCTGATTATAGGCTACATGGAAAACTTTGATGTCCCCTGTGCTGCCATTGTCTTAAACTCCTAAATGGTTTACACTTATGTTTAAATAATATATATATATGTGTGTGTGTGTGTATATATATATATATAAATAAAAATTTCGATATCGAAGTTTGGCCAGTGGGGCAATGGGGTTTAATCCTCACGTAAGTGCAGCCTATAACTGAGATGATTTCTGTTCACTGTAGTGCAACAAGTTATTAGTTTTGTTTAAATATAAAAATACTTCTACTTTTATGAAAGAACAATTTTATTAACAGTTAAGCACTTTTATATTTGCTCCCTTGTGAGATTTGCCCATACTGTAGTACTGAGGGATTTGCAGCAAAGTGCAAATATATAGCAAGCTAATAGAAGAATCCTTGGCTGAGTTTTGGGGATTTGTATTTGTGTGTGTATTTGGGTTTTTTGTTATCTATATATCCATATAGATAAATATGGAAATCCAGTATTGACAAGGCCCCTTTTGTTTATTCTATTAATAGAGAAAAGGTCATATGGCAAATAGCTAGAATTTATGTGTCGAATCCTCTTTAATGAAATACTAGTTTCCTTGTTGCAACGCCGAGCTGTAATCAAGCTGCAGTGGAGAAGGCAAGATGACATATTGCACCTTCTCGGCTCAATGTCTCCACTACAGCGTGTCGGGCATAAGAATGAGGAGGGCTCTTTCACGTGCTGACTCTGCTCTTCCAGGTGATGCATAATTCTAGATATTTAGAGGAGGAAACAACCTGTGGCCTGAACACACAGGTGCGGAGTGACAGGAAACCACATTCGTCCTTCCCACATATAGATCGACAACTCGGTGGATACTAAATAAAACTGTTTTAAACACGGTGAGGGGATTAGCACGTGGTTTAGCTATTGTAGTGTGCTGCATTAGAGTGTGCCTCTGGAGTCTGTCAACACTGGATTTATATTATTTGCTTACGGTTTGATAGAGAACATGTCGTGAATTTTCCTGGTGTACAACAAAGGAAAATGATACCTCAGAATTATGAAGTGGGAAGGCCAACGTGTATATCACAGTCTTCCATATATAATTAGACTTAAATGGCTATGTTAGTGAGCTTTGGCAAGTATGGGGTTGCACTGAAAATGCTGCTTTCACAGCACAAACAAAAACCTTTTCATTTAAACTGGGAGCACTGTAAATGGAATATTTATATAAGAAGCCCCTTGATTGCAGTCCACTGTGGTTATTCTTAGCAAAGAACATGTCTTGCTAATCTAGCTTTAACCTGATCAGTCTAGGTACGATCTGTATTGGAAAGGATATTTTTTTTTCTTTTATTGTGAGTAAAGTGCTAGTCTTTCCTGCCAGAATGATGAAGGAAAATTTAATAAATAAATAAACCCCACTCCACAGGATATCAATATCATGAAATTAGCATTGATATAGGGACCAAAATTGAGTGGGTCCTGACATGCTGTAGCTGACTTTAATAACTTACCTTTGAAAAGCCAGTCAAACAGCATATGCAGATGTGCTCTGCCTGGCTTGACTTTGAGCTCAGTCATTGTTTCCTTTTGAATGTCTCACTTTAAAAGAGAATAGTTGGGAGCCTGGGGAGGAAGGGAAGAAACCTTTTATTCCTTCCGTTTGTGTGAGATCAAGAAGGGATTGAGGCATCTGAAGGTATTTGCTGTGCTTTTGGATTGCCTCTTTTCAGCAAAACCAGGATATACTTATCTGTTTTCATATATCCCTCTATTGACATTCAGTTCAAATGCGAGAAATACTTATTACTGTAACTGGAATTTAGCAGAAGGGTTTAATTATTTAGGTGGACTTTGAAAAGGCAGAAAAGGCACCAAATAATTAAGAAACAAAATCCACCTAAGTGGATAGCAATAATTGTGTAAATACGTTGTTGTAAATCTGTTTGTATTGTAATAAGGTAGTCATTTTTTCCTTTTTTTTTTTTTAATCTGGGAGTCAAACTATTTGGGGACAAAAGACCGGTGTTGTCCAAAGGTAAGAATAATAAATTTTAGTTGTTTCTGGTGTCAGTAATGGTGTTAATTTAACTTCATATTTGATATTTCCTTATGATAGGTTATGTGGGTTTATCCTCAAGTAATATGAAAGAGATAACTGTGTCAGTGCACATAGACTAATATATACTAATTCTGAAACCAGCCCTTGCCAAGTGGCCCTGTTCATTTCTGGATCTTTGAAGGGTAAAATCACTACAACCATGTTCTCTCAACGAACAACTGCAAAATGTGTGTGCTTCTATCAGAGGAAGAGCTGATGCTGCTGGAAGCATCTGCTCCAGGTGTAGTGATGCTGATGCTGAAACCTCCGTACAGTTGCATTCACTTTTCCAGTCTTAGGCCAAAAAACAGGGCAGCTGAGGAAAGCAGCTGGCAGTGCAGGACTTGTTTGTGCAACTTCCAGTGGTTGTAAGTGAAATAAACCGATTCTGTTCTGGGCTGCATTTGTCTGCCTATTTCTCATGGGAGAAAAAAACAGAAACTGTTCATATCAGTCGGGTCTGGTGGTCAAACACCAGGCCTGAGAGACAGAAATCAAGCCTCCTGTTTTCAAATGACCTTTTCATAAGCTTCACTGCTCTGCCGTCCTTTTCTCAAATGGGTTCCCTACCCCAATTCCCAGTTCTCATTTTAAAACTTTTGCAGAGCCCTTTCCTTTGTGGCTCCTGGAATTTTGAAGCAAATGCCGGGTCCTGACATGCACTACTATTGCCTTAGGACATGGCTTTGACAGAACTCATTTTTTAAAAGCTAGAATGTTATAAAGAGGAAATGGAGGGAGGGGAGAAGGTTAAAAACCAATCTTCCTTTTAGCTCTTCTCCTACAGATTGAGATACTCTCAATTTCTCATGCCTCTCTTTCTTCCCAGCTTTCTGTTCCAGTAGTTGTTATTAGTGAATATTTTTGCAGCAGATTTGTATTCTAAAGATGGGATTCAAATGATGATGTTGGCCTCTCATGAACTGTCCCTTCACTTTTAGGAGCAGTAAGGTGTTATTAAAAATTAACTTAAAGTCACCAGACAGACAGTGAATAGACAAAGACAACTTCCCATGGGGAAAGAAATGGCCGTCTTGTGCAGCACGCAATCCTGCTAGGTTTTGTAAATCTGGGGCAGTAGAAGGAGCTTCAGCTCCCAGGATTTCTTTGTTTGCTTTGTGTTGTTGTTTTTTGGCAATATTTACAACATCAATGGTATATTTACATATGAAGTGTATGAGTTGTGGATGGTTTTGCTTTTTCATGCTTTGTTTTGCTGTTGGTTTGAAAGCACATTTCAGCTTGCTACATTAATGTATTGTTCAAAGAGTTATTAATATGTCTGCAGATAATTAGAATTTTGTGAATCAAATTTACAAGAAGATAGAAATCCTTTCATGAGTGCTTTACATAATTAAATGTTTAAACCTGTCGGAAGAAAAGGGGAGAGTTTATTTTCCAGCGGACTTAATCCTGGAGCAGCGTGACTTTGATTTTTGTTTTGCTGTAAAAGATTATTTTGAATTCTGTTCTCTTCCTCTTGTTGCAGGGTATTGGAGGAATATTCACTTTTATCCGGCCTTGGCCAAACAACCTTGTAAAAGCTTCAAGCAAACTCTCTTCTGTCATGGCGTTCATTTATTTTCTTCCTTACCCTGTCTTCAACTCCACACCCACTTCACGAGCAATCTGCAGAGGCTGGTTCTAGCTGTCATTATTCACGTGTATCACATGCAGCTGATTATAAAAGTCTTATTTAATTTTTAATAAACAAATGTCTCATTTTCATAAATGTTTTGCCTCATACAGAAAGCAATTATCGCAGTTATTGGGATCTCAGAGAGAGGAAAAAAATAATAAAGCGCCCACAGAAACTGCAGGAATATCAATGTGTACGTTTTGTTCTGTACCCAGGCAAAAACTTCTCAGAGACTTAAACTGAAGTAGCTTATGAGTAGGGAGGAGGAGAGAGAATGCAGTTGTTTTTATTCATGCTGTTGTTTATGAACTACTGTATTTATACACATGGCTTCTTCTTGAGCATTTGCTGCTGTATTGTTGATAGAATCTTTCAAATGTTTTTTAAATGGTACAATATCCATGGGAGAAATAAAACTAAATGTTTTTTGATGTTATTTCGTCTTCTTTCCTTTTTCTATGATAGAACAGTTTTTCCCTTTTACCTGTATTACCTGCAACTTCTGTCACAGAAGTGGGCAACACTATTGCAAGTTTGGCTTTAGATTCTTGCTTTTTTTCCCCTGTATTTTCATGGAATTGAGATCATATATCCCTGTTTTTGCAAAGAACAACATGTTGATGCTTTCCGAGAGTCAGATGTACAACCTAAATATGCCTAATGAAAAAGGAAGATGTGCAGCACGTGGTGCATAAGCCATGCAGATAAAACAAATCTTCTGCATTTACAAGTATATTGTAGGCAACGTTAAAGACTTCCTGTACAGTTTTTCCTGTCCACAGGTGTGCCAAGGTATTTTTTGACCAGTATTTTCTTGGTACAATATGACTATATTCATAAAAGATGACTTGAAGGGTGGGTGGGATGTATGTATGTGCATGCAAGTGTATTTTAAAGAAAATGTCTTTTCTTTAATCAGGTCCTCTTGTACTAAGGCTTGCAAGTGGTTGTTTTGAAGCAGCTTTTCCACATTGGGAATTCCGTACTCCTAAGTCCTCCTGAGGAGGCTGAGTGAGAGGGGAAGTCACCATGGCCACTGGCAAGTTAAAATGCAGTATGATCATGTTGCTGTGTGGAAAGGAGGGGAGAGAGAGAGAGAAAAAAAAATCTTACTAACTTGCTGTTTTCATATTCAGGAACAGTGATGGCAAATCACCTTGGATAACCTCTTCCATTAAGCTTGTCTACTTTCTTTTGGCTGTCTTCAAAGATGAAACTTCATCGCAGCCTTCAGAGTGCTTTCTGTTATCCAGCATTTCAATCTCTTATTTGAAATGCTTTCCACAGCGTTTAGCTATTTCAATCATTGACTATTCCAGCCTTTTATAATGGCAAAGTGTCTAGATTTTCCCTGTGCTATCTTCCTGAGCAGAACAAACAACTCTATATGAACAGTGGCTGGGCAATGTCTTTGACAGCCATGGCCTGCAATGGAGATGATAAGAGGTTACATGCATATGAGAACTGATGTTATGAGGATATCTAGAAATAGCTTTTCTTACCCTGTTGCAAGCCTTCGGTATCTCAAAATTACCCCCTTCCCCTAAGAACACCTTGCCAAGACTTTCAAGTTACTACTCTTTTACTTTAGATAGTAGACATCATTTTAAAGGAGTTATAATGAAATGGACTTGCTGTAGACTGGAAGCAGGCTTCATTATCAATCAACAGTTTAGAAACTAATAGCTTTTACTATCTACCTGTTGCAGTGAAGCTTTGAGGAAAGTTTTTAAATGTAAATAGTTCTCCTCTGGCTATAAACTTGCACAACCAAAATTAATTATCTGTTATGCAGTGATATGAAAAGAAATCTTATTTATGTGAAAGTAACAACTTCGGTGATTTTGAGACTAAAGTTGAGACCATCATCATGCATTGATGATGTTGGTAGTGTTTCAGAAACATATATTGCTAATAGGATTAGTATAGAGTTAGGATTTAGAATAGGAACCACCCTAGCTTTATCTGTGTTGATACCAATTTGTGTCAGCAGAATGGCTAAACCATTAGAATCCAGCTATTTTGAATTTCAGTTTGAATTGACAGCACAATTCCTGTCTAGATTTTTTGGACCATCTAAGTCAGGAAATGCCTTCCTCGGAAGAAATGCAGTATTCATTTAAGGAATTTACAGTATTGATGTATGGAGCAAATCCATGTCTCCCACCTTGAAGAATACCTCACCTGTCAGGCTCTTAATGGTGGGACTCATCAGTGATGCTCTGATGGCTTTTTTACACACCCCCTGCTCTATGCTAAAGGACGAAGTTCTCTGGGAAATGAAAAGGGGCATGTCAGTATAGCCAAGAGCTGGGTGAAAGGGTGGTGAATGTGTATGATGTGGCTCTTCCTGCTCTGTCCATCCCATGCAGTGCCCGAGTCTGCCCTCTCCCATGCTCACTTGCTCTTTCACTCACCTCCAGGTGCTTGTTTTCTATAGTCCTTCTCCTAAAGAATATACTCTTTCCCATTGAAATCCTTCTCGTTCCCTCTGTTATGCAATTCCTTCTTTCTGTTCAGTCGTACCACCTTTCTAACTAAATATTTCTGTCTCTCTCTCTCACCGAGTTGAATCAGATGCCTGTAATTTATAAATTATTTCTGGTATTCTTGGTCCAGTCAAAGGATTGACTCTCCAAGACATCTTGTCTAGCAACAATTGGATGAAACGGGGGGGTAAGGTGTTGCTTCAACTTTTTTTTTTTTGCTTTTTTTTTTTCAGTCACTATTCCCACTTCTCAAAGATATGTTTGTTTCACTGCACCCTAGATTGCCTGTTTTCCCATCTTTCCCTATGTCTTATACTGCCTACAGCTCTTTTCATCTCCCACTTTCACTCTTTTCTCTCCTTAATCCACATTTTCCACTTAACATCTCACAATCCAAGAAATAGTATTTGTGTCTTGCAGAGAGGAAAAGAAAGATCTTGCCCCAACTCGTTTTAAGTACCAACACCTCCTTTCTCTTGTTGCTTGCTTGCAATAATTCTATAGTTTGAAGTCATTCTTCCTGTATCTAACATCTGACAGGTTTTAATCAAAATCTCAAATGATTTTTCTCCATTGCACCTTGAAATTGGCTCGCTGTCTTCAACTCCATTTCTTGTTAGCAACTTTCAGTCTCCTTTCTTTCAGGCTCTGCCCATGATGACTCTGCAGGGTCCCTCTGGTTGCTCTCTCAGCACTTCTGGGGAGGTCTGCAAGACCCTGGATACCATTTTCAGTGCATCTGAGATGTGAACAGCTCCTTTTCCTCCCTTACCTCTTGAGAATTCCTGCAAGTGCCCCTCATTTTCTGGAATCAATACTTTTGTCTTGTCCTGACCTTAAAGGATAGTTCCAGCAAAGGATAGTTCCAGTGCTACAGGTAGAGGGGAAGTTTTTGCTGTGACTGGGGCTTTGGGGTAATGTAAGCATAAAGTTGAAATGCACTTGAGTTTCTTCAGCTTCTCATTAAAGACATTTTGAAATTTCAAATCATTTCAGGCATCTCATCTGAATTCTCTCCAGCCTGCTGTCATTAAAAGAAGTGCTGCTTTTTTTTTTTTTTTTTTTTTTTTTTGTGCCAACATTAATTAATTTTTTATTTTGCATCCTCCTGTGTTCTTTGCTGTTTGATCTTGGCACCTAGCTCTTTAATTAAAGAAAGGTAAGCCCAGATTCTCATGCAGTCTGGACCTTTCTCTAGAGTCTGCCTTTTTCACTTGCTGATCTTGTGGTCGTGGCTCAACTATGACCTTGCCACAAATTTCTCCTCGCTCCTCCCACCCAGTCCATGAATTAGCTGAACTACATTTGGATGAAAAGCTTTATGAGAAATATTCTTTTTGAAAGATTATTTCTTTCTGAAATCTCATTCCAAACAGTATTTTATTTTAAATTCTTACAGGTTTAATTTGCTGTGTTATGTAACTGATATTTTAATGTATGAGTATACATACTAATAATCTCATGAGAAGTGCATCCTGTTTATTTTCAAAGTTTTATCTTTCACTAAGCCACATTATTCAGTACTAATTATATTGCTGTCCCTTTATTCTTCATTGAACACATCCTGTTTTGCCTTCCTGAGATTTTGTCTTGGATAAGCATTAAACTGTCAGACCTGTAGTTACATTTTCAGCACTTTATCCTTTAAAAATATTGTTTCCTGTGATCTCTGTTCAATCTTTTGGACATTCACTGTATCTCAAAGGACATTGCCAGTATCCCACTTTGAAAATAGCACTTTAGCAATCTCCTCAGTCAATGCTTTCAAAGGCAGTGGTCCAAGTTTTCTGTGTTGGTGCTGTTTAGTAATCTCCTTTGCTGATGGAATAAAGAAACAGAGTTGTGCATTTTAACCTGGGAATAGCAATATGTCTGTTTTCCAAAACTAAATGAAGATTTTATGCTGGAGCGGGGGAAAAGGGATTTTGAGATTTTGTAGTTTTGTAGTTTTGCCTCCTCTTTGTCACAGTTTTTATTACTGTGCTCATCAGTAAGTGTTTTGCTTAGTTTCTCCTTTCTGTGCCTAGACTGGGATGTTTCTCTGCAAGTAGGCATCTAGGTGATCTAGTAGGCACCTAGTCCCGGGTGACCCTGTCCTCTTGACAGGAGCTGTTCTCCAGTCCCAGATAGTCCCAAATTCCTCCCAAGTTACAAAAATCCTGGCAGTTGGGTTCATACAAGCTGTGGTGCATTGGCAGGTGATGACAGGAGAGGCAACGTGCTTCATGTTTGCGTAATTTGCTCTTATCAGATAGGCTTTTATCCGAAAACATTTATATTTGTTCTACCAAGCAAAAGGTTTGGTACCAGCCTGCAAAAGAGAAAAAGTTATGAGAAGAGGAAAATAGCAAAGATAGTTCTAGTATGTCCATGACGTCGACATTCTCTTAGAGCTGTCACTTCAAAGCTTTGGGAAATGGCATGGTCCTTAAAGCCAGGAGAAAATCTCAGCTAGCCCTGATGTTAATTACCATCTTCACAGTGGTAGCCAAAGATTTCTGATTTAATCAGTTGAATTTCTTCAATGCGTTTCCTTCCTAAAACAGAGTATCCCATTCTGCCATTCTGATTTAGGTTTACTCTTGCAGACAAATGTTGATGTTTTTGACACATATATATGTGTGTGTGTGTGTGTGTGTGTGTGTGTGTGTGTGTGTGTAAAAAACTTGCTGAAATGCCTGTATCTTGACTTATATATGTTTTATTTATTTGTTTATTGTCTTTTTTTTTTTCAGACAATTGAACTACTTCTGCCTCTGTGAAAACTGTGGGATAATAGTTACTTACGTAGCAC